CTTTCGAGAGTACTTTACGTTACATTTAAACATACTTTTCATTATGATTAATTACATTATTTCACATTAACATTAAACATTAATTTTGGATTGTGAAACATGGAGTAACATGTTTGATGTAGGGGAGATCGTGTCCGGTTGTCATGCGAAGTTGATTGTCAAAAAGCTAATAAACTCAACAATCAATATATGGACCGAGCATTCTCTTCTTTTTACTATAGATTATTGATATAATATTACAATAAGAATTTTATTGGATCATGTGAATACACAACCAATAGAAAATAGAGCCCAATGATGATCAAAGCTGGATCTTCAGTGTTTAAGTAATTCGGTTTTACGATTTTATATATTACATATCAAATTCTGCCAAACTGCGCGCCGAATTAATTTTTCGGTCTTGAAACGCTATATTGACAAAACCTTAGTACTATTATTAATATTCTCTTAGTTTTATTCACAGTTTATTTCAATATCTCTATAAACAGAATTTAAAAAAAATAAAATAAATTAAGTGAGCCTTATTCGGCTCAGATACCTTATAGAACTAATATTTTTAAAAACTGTATTTTTGTGTGTTTTATTCATAAAAATTATGTTACTGTCAACTTTGGAATGTAGCCATCACCTCGAGTACAAGGTTAATTATTACATTTTCGCAACTTGTTCAAAATTAAGAGAGGAATTTATTTGTACGATAATACGTTTAAGAATAATATTTTTTTAATATCTAAGAGATGCAGAGATATATTATAAATGTTTCAGAACATTACATCCATTTTTTTTTTAAATCATTATTTAAAAACTGTGATAAACAATTCTAGTCTTCCCTACAAATCCATTGTAAAATTCTTTTATTGGATTTCTTTTCTGTTAATCCATAAATATTGTATTTAATAAGTACATGCGTTAAATGTATCGCAAAAATTTCTGCATATAACACATAAGTTTTACTCTCCTTGGCTCAACGTCTACGACATACATCATAGAATACTGCTTAAGAGTCCTATAAATAAGAGAAGCAGTACCGCAGCAGTTTCTGATGTTTCTGCTATCATAACGCATTACTCATCGATATCTCTTATATCACTTCCTTGCCATCTGATTTCTTCAGACAGCTGTGTTTATTTTTCACCTAATATTTCTTAAATTTCCTCGAAGAATTCTTTGTCTACTTTAACAGATTTTGAACGTTACGCATTGTCGTACATATCATCGTCGCCTCGTTTCTTTACGTAAAATTCTTTTTAAATAACTCGTCCATTTAGCAACCTTTAATTAATGATATTCTTTCTCTGAAATAAGATTGTGAACTTCACGTGTAGATAAAAATTTAAAAGGTTAAAGATTGATAATTTAAAAATTTTTAATTATAGAAAAAGATTCGTTTTACTTTGTCTAAAGAACATTTTTCATATCTTGTTAAGAGACACTCAATTCAAGCTCTTTGCTTAAGTTATTTCTATTCTGGAGAATTCTATTGGTAACCAGACTATCATCTACAAATATTTCGATTTCATCAGTATGTGCAATCCGCCTTCTCTGTCAAGGAGAATAACATTTCATTATAGAAAAACTTTTCTTTTATATTTTTTTCATTTTTTTTCCTCTTCTACGCTTTTTTAGAGCCGAATATTATACTTTATATTTTATATATATCATATTTCCTAAAATATTTTTTTTTTAAAGTTTTCATTCGTTTTAAATTGAGAAGATTTCTATACTTGTCCATCATAAGGAATTCTTTTATGTTGACCAAGTAATTCGATTTGCATGACGATGCGATAATATGCAATAGTATACAAAGATTACCAACAGATTCATTAATGAAATTCATTTAATCTTTAGGTAATCATATATTGAGAAATTGGGCCTAAGGGTCCTATTTTATAATTCTTAATATCTGGAACTGTAACGTTATATTGTCATTGTGCAGGTTTTATACATGCTAAAAAAACCGACGCAACACTACATTTACAATTGTTAAGAGTTATAGAATAGATCCCCAAAATTATGTAACCACTTCCTCTAGAGCTTTTTTGTTTAATAACATATTTTAATTTACAATGATTCGTAGATTAAAAATTCTTGATACTTAATCATTGATTAATTTTTCTTAATAAATTACTTAGAACTTGAAAAATGAAAACCGCTATAACAATGTTGTCCATAATACGACAAAAAATATTTTATAACATAAATATATGCAATTTATATATGTAAATATAGTTTATGTATGCAAATATCTAAACTTTAAAGCAAAAATATGTCACACACCTTTTTTTCCCTTCATTTTTTATTTACCTCTCATTTATATTATATTACAAAATAATTCTCTAACAAAAAACTTATAAAAAATTCTATACAAGATAAAGACTTTTTATTTGTTAAGATTTTTTAAATTTTAATTCAAATACTTTCTGCCTGTTTTTATCCCAATAATTGAATAGTCTATAAAGAAAAAATTGTTTTATCAACAAAGTTTTATTTAATTCATTAATAAAAGTTTTCCTGCCTTAAGGAAAATAAAAATTTACTTCAAAGGAATATATAGGGAGAAAATGTTATTAATATATTTAAAAGATAATTAAATAGTCAGAAATGACCTGTTTCTTTGTTTCTATTCGTATCTCCTCTCCTCTGTTATACGACTTCTTTTCTCATACACACCCTAAAAAGGACGTCTGCCTACCATCGACGAGATTAAAAAAGTTACGCGACAAAGGGTTAACGAGCTTAAATCGTTTACCGAGAAAAGCAATATTTCGTGAGTTTAAACTTAAGCGACTAAGACAAAAAGCGGCATCGAAGAAAAAAAATTTTTCCTTTAAAAATATTTACTACAATGTCATGAGCTTGTTTTTTATAGAGACTGTAAATGCAGCACCATTTTTTTTTCAACAATATATCTCAAAATATAGAATGCTTCATACATAAAAGAATGATTATATGCCGCATCGTAAATTGTTCTTTGTTATCTGGGAAAAATTGCGGACTTTTCTTCGTATAGATCGTTATTGCATGTCAAAATTGTCACGCAAGAAATTTCCACAACTTCGCGATGGATAATTTGCGCGGCACTAATTAATTCACGTTAATTAAAAATGTAATAGATATTTTACAAAATAACAAAAAAATTATGAAAAAGTTTTACGGATTATTATATACCACATTTATAAAAGTAGTGCAAAAACGATGGTTTATCAAAAGATATTCCAATAAGAAGTAGTATTTTTTTTATCTGTGCTCTAATAGAAGTATGTAAAAATATGACGTTATAAAATAATGACATTTTTTTATGCAAATACTTTAAGTATTCAAGATGATGTATGTAAAATTACATTTGCAATGTAGAAATTAATTTTTTATATAAACTAATATTTATTTGTTCTAAATCTTTATAATTAATCAGTGAATCGCGATGAAACTTTAAAATCGTTTTAAATATTTAAAGTACTTATGCAAACATATTTAGAATTTTGTTTCCTTTCTTGACTAAGTAAATTAAAATAAACAAATTCTATCCATTTAGATCTTATTGATTATTACTTAAATTTTAATTTATAATAATAAAAATAAAAATAATAAATAAAATATAAATAAATAAATAAATGTAAATAAATACATAAAGCATATAAATAAAACATAAAGTGTATAAACTATAAAGATGTATTGTTTAATAAATATAGAATGTTAAAAGCACAAGTTTCATATCTATCATATCAAGTTTGTTTGAATATTAATGTATATGCTATATGCTGTTGTATTAATGCATCTATCATACTTTGAATAACTGCAAATAATTCCAGCATTTTTCTAATTTAAAAAAATAAACATTTAACGTTTGTCAAACATTTAATAAATAGATATAATCGTTCAAATTAAAAACAATAATTTAAACAGATTAAAATTATTAAATAAAAAAAATCCTTTGTGACGTACACTTTCATACAGTTTGTGAAGCGAAAAAGATTAAGTTAAACGAAAGATGTAATCATTGTAGCTGTCTGCTAAAAATGGAACAGTTTATTCAAGAAGTTGACAGACGAGCGATGCCCTGCGGGTATCTGCAAACACCATCGTCTTACAGACGAATGTATAGAAGCAGAAGGCAAAAGAGATGGCAAAAAGAGACGGTTAAGATATGAAATGTTTAAGATAGACAGTAGTACTCGTAGTATAAAATATGATATATTCCGAATATATTCTGATTTGAGAATTTTAATACGAAACAAATCATGCAAATGTAATACAATAAAAAATAGAAACAAAAAGCAGTTACCGTAGTTTACGCATATTTGTTTTATACATTAGTAATAAAATAATTTTGTTAATAATATATATATATATATTGTAAATTTGAGTATTGTATTATAATTATCTCTGCAGTTACACACAACTACCTATTACCACTGTTTGCTAAAATAATTGACCGCTACGGCTATGGTTGGTGTAATTTTGCCTGTGGGTGTTCGCGAACGCTGCATTTTGTTATCAACTTGTTCAGTGTCTGCATGCAATTATAAATTATAAAAATAGTATCTGTGAATTATTAGATGTAAACAATATGTAAATTTTACACGAGCTCTAACGTAAATTTTCGGCAAAATTAGTTAATTCAAATTTAAAAGTTAGCTTTTCTATTTGTATATATAATTATATTATAATTATAGAGAAATCTTTATAATGATTAAATAGAGCAATTTATGGACGCTTGTTGTTTTTTATGAATTCAAATAAATTTATCTATTTAACAAATTAACATTAATGCAATAATAATAATTCACATTAAATAACTATTCTATATATGTATTTGTTTTTCCTTTTCTCTTTATTTCAAATAATTTTCAGAAAAGTTTACTTCAAGAAGTTTTCACTTAGATATTCTACTGAGTAGCTTTTTGAAAAAATTCAATCAACCTCTTTTGTCCTGGTTTTCCGATCTAGCCAATACCAATAAATGCAATAAAGAAAATAGTAATATAGCTACGATAACTTACCTCGACTGAATTGCTCGTAACTGGCAATTACCCTCTCAGCATTCTTTCTTGCGATGTAGAACCACTCGCTGCTATTGCTCAAGTACTTGTACTGGATTGCGAGATCCTTCACGAGGACGCCATCCTGATTGGGCAGTCGGTGAGCGAACGGACAGTATAACCACCGATCCCGATACTGTAATTTATCGTAACAATTGCCGGCGGCGAAGATATCTTCGTCAAACTCGACCATGGAGAGAACGCTCGCGTGCAATAGATACTCTGAGGACAGCATCACTTCCGGTGCGTACTTCCAGAGCCGGGTGAGCATGTTGGCACGATTGACAGCGAATTCTGCCTCTAGCCTAAACCTCTCCTGCGCATATTGGTCCACCACGCCTTCGCCGAGGTTTAAATCAGTGCCTGCAGTGCAATTCTCACCCAGAGTATGCTGGTTCTCGATAATTCGCAAGAAACGCGTCACGATGTCGACTTGGGGTCTCTTGCGAATCAACTCGGGCGATGAAGTGTTCATCGGTTCCTCGTAACTTGTGTAATCCAACACCACATCTTGCGAAATCTCTTCCTCGAGGTCACGGGTGGTTTCGCTGGTATCTTCGAGCGCATCGATACCGAGTGTCTCCGTCGTGTTATGGTCTATCGCAGCTGCTGGCACAACGGTCCTATTTAAGGATATTGCCTTCCTCAATTTACTAAGGGCGTCGTCCTTGTAAGAGCTCTTGAGGGAATCGGGATTCGATCGCAAAATACCGTGGCTCTCCGAATAATGCACTTTGAGTGTATCTTGGAGATCTTTCGCAGTCTCATCGTTGATCTGATCCGAAGACCGGATGTTCGTATTATCTTTGGAAATATTCTGTTCAATTATCCAGGAAAGATTACGCGTGAGAGGAATAGCGGAATTTTCTTCAGCAACATTTCCTTTCTTTCCGTGATACAACTTGAGTAAACTTTCCAGTCCTTCTGAAACATTATTCTCAATTCGATCGAGAGATTGGCTGTTGACCGAGTTATCCTTTGAGAAATTTTGTTCAAGAAGCCAAGAATGATTACGTTTCGGTGAAACGGATCCTTCCAGAAAATCACTCACTTTTTCCACTTGACGCGTCTTGAAGTGATTCTCATGATCCTCGCGAATGTCGGTTCTGATCCTATTTGCCGCATCCTTCGAACTATCCCTCGTAGATTCCTCTATCTTCTGCCGCGCGAAATGGCTTCTGGATCTTCCGTGACGGATCTGCGATCTTTCGATGCTCGACATATCCGTCTGCTCGATCTCCGTCCAGAGAATCTCCACCGGTCGGATCTCTGTCGGCGAAACTTCCTCCAAGGAATGACGCTCCCTCGTTTGCGATCGCGTTTCCGCAGAGCGGATTCTTGTGGCTCGCTCTTCGGCAACTTCCGCGGCAAGTTCAGCTGAGGAGGCACGAACTTTCCCGGCGTCGAGGGCGATTTCCGCGGAGTGACGTGCTGACGTCGACGAAAGAATCTTTGCCGAACGTATCGCTACAGCGCGACGGCTCTCCGTCGGGCGCGTTTCCACAATTCCGTCGAGATTCTCCAAAGTCGAGCGTATTTCCGTAGGATATTCTTCCGCACGTAAACGATTTTCGTACGCGAAATGGATCTCCGTCGGCCGGAAGTGGTTTATAGGGCGATCTCGCGCGATTATGGGACGGATTTCCGCGCGATGATATTCCGAAGGATGATTCAGCATCTCCGCCGCTTCCGCGTCTGAACGTGCGATTTCCGCGTTCGGATGAATAATCATCGAGCGGGTCTCAACGGCACGAAATTCCGTCGAGTCGACGAGCTTGCGGTCGACAAAGGCCGTCGAGCGGTGGTTCAATTGATGCCGCAGGTACTCCTTCGACTTTTCGATTTCAGGGACCTTCTCGTGGTGGCTGGCGAGGGAATCTTGCGTGAACGTGAGCAAGATGAGCGCGCACCAGATGCCTGACGCACTCATCTTCAGCCGCTCATCTTCCCGTTCGCGACAAACCGTCCGCTTGTTACATCCACCCGCGATGGCACGTTTCCTCGAGCCTAATCGATCTCAATCCCGACATCTCCACGACGTGATTATCATTCGCATATAGCAGCGGCTTGCAACAGCTGCTTACGATAACATGACATGCTTGATACATTAGTGAGCATTACATATTTCTTGAGAATCAATTTAACACTCTCTCCTCTTCGCCGGAATTAATTTCAACGTCTCCATAAAATGACCGTCATCCATCTCTCCTCGACAGCATATATGATTATATTATCATTTCTCTCGAGATTAACGTAATTTCAAACATTACAACTTGGATATCAATTTCTCGCAAGTCGTATTTACAATACTTTTACTTTTAATTACGATATATTAATAATGCGATATTTTATAAGATCTCATTGAAGGTAAGTACTTAATTTTAATGATTCTTACGTTCCTCCTGAATTTCTGGTCCTCGATTTAAATTCTATTGCCAATGAGAATAGCTCTCTAACATCTTCGCAATTTTACTTCTTCCTTACAGTATTTAACAGATCCCGGTGTTGAGCAGCGTCTTCAGAATCTCTGCGCAATCTTACGTCTCTCCAGACATTATAGTTCTTAATGAATGATATTCTCTTAATAGACTCGATACTTAATTGCTCCTGAGTGGTATCTCCACAATCAACTTATCCTCCGCCTGAAACTAGCACTATTTCAATGTTTGCTTTTCTTACCATCGAAACTCACGACCACCAACTTCGACGGCGGATATCCCACGGTAAATCGATCTGTCGGTGATCCGTTCTCGTTGCTCTTGAGATTAGACCGTGCGTAAAGTGTTTTTGCGCGGGTTACTAATCGAGAAGTCTCCCACTTCCCCGTTCTCTCTGAACGGTAATCCGATTTCCACGCAGATACGCCTCAGTCGATTTTTGCGCAGCTCATGTAGATCAAAGTTTTGCGGAGGGCCAATCCCAGAGTTAATGCATTATTGGATCGATCGGCGAATATGAAAAACGTTCGAAGCCGAAACTCGAAAGCCTTATACTCGATCTCTCGAGAACGTTACATTGATTTAATTTATCAAACCGATCTCCGGGGTTGCGGCCATATCGTTATGATTGATCGACAATTTCATCGCGTATAATTATCGCGCAATCGCTACCGTTCGCGATTCAGAGCGATAAAAAGTTCTCCATTGATTCTGATATTTCTGATATGATTCCGTTTCTTCGTGAGTAATTTTACACGAGTGCAAATTGTAATTAATTTTCACCGACCTGATACCGTCCTGATTTGTCCTTTTCAATCCCGATTTTGTGATTCACGCACATCATCATAGATCATGACACACTCACATATCGTATGTTCCTGCACGGTAAATCTGTCGTGGTGAAAAGTGCAGGCGTTCGCGACGTATTGACGGTATTTTAACGGAAAATTCGCACGCGGCAAAATCGTCTACAGGCACCTGTCGCCGTTTTGATCCACTAGCGATTAATGATAGTGTTGACGTTCCAAACATTGTTGTACGCCTAATTGTTATAGAGTATACATGTATTTATTCGTTCCATTAGTCAACTGTTTCCTTGCTTATATGTTCACTTGTTTGGCGAACAATCATAATCGTTTACATAACGCGTGCTTGCATATGCTCTGTGTAATTAAGTGGACAAGTTAAGTGGATAGAACCGTGGATAGACGCGCATATGCTTTCTTCATCAATTTTAATCATAAATTATTTCTGCGCTTTCGGCGTTAAACATCGATAAAATTTAAATGCGAAATGCGAGCAAGAATACACAAACGCATATCGCCATAATAATAAATCATACAAATTAAATGTGCCTTCAATTATATGGTAATCATCAATTTTCGCGAAAATATTGAGAGTTAGCACAATATTTTCATGATTTCATCAGAAATAATGTCCATGCAAAATTGACGTTAAAAGTTGCATACAATTCAATTCCTATTAACGAAAATTAAATCCACATCGGCATATTGTTCCGTAATTATGTAAATTAATAACTTTCCTTTGAAGTGTACTCGAGGCTCGATTACAGATTAACTAATATGATCTTTCGATAAATGCCCCGCGGTTTTATATAGAATTTCACTCGTAATCAGCTAAATATTGAAGACCACAAAAATTCAATTTATAAATAGAATATCGCATTTTAATCGATCAAATAAATAATCTTTTTAAGAGAATTGCCCGCTCTCCCGCCCCCCCCCTCTCTCTCTCTCTCTCTCTCTCTCTTCTGTACAATATCAGACATTAATTTGGCTTCCCTTCGGCGATCTTCTCAAATTTTCTCCTATTTTTTCATGAATAAAAAAGCATAAAAGTACAGAAGATAAACATAAAGATTGCAAGAATTTAATCGATATTTTCAAAATAAAGAAACACGAAAAGAATTTTTTTAATACTAATAATTTTAATACTTTCAAAGTATTAAAAAGCTACGATAATTATCTTGATAATCAATTCTTATCAAATTGTCTTTAAAATTCGATTTACAAAGCCGCATTGTCTCTTCGGATTAAAAATTGTTCCAAAATGCATTCATTTTTAAAAATCTGATAGCAATTAATCCCATTCTTTCTATTACAACAAATTGAATCGTGTCACATTCGGTCTATTTTTTAAATTAAAAAGTGGAAATTTCAAAAACGAAATTCTAAACGCTATTTTTTAATTAATTTAATAAATCAATAATATATCCTATAGAATTCCATTTTAAACTGGCGTTATTAATCATTTCCGAACAATTATACATGAATCGCTCATAATCGGTCATCTGTCATAAATGTTCGAGATTGATAATCGGATTAGCGGACGTGTATTGACATAGTTTTTGCAATCGTAATCGCACGAATTGAACTACGTGTAATCTCCTTGTAATCTCGTATCTCCTAAAAAAAAAAAAAAAAAAAAAATCGCGTGCGATCCACCTTACAGTAGAGAATCTCTGACGGAGTGATTTCTTTCTTTCGCGCTTCTCGATCGGGTTCTCTTATCTAGTTTCAAGTTGGATCAACGGATCGAGGGTGCAGACTCGACCTGCGGGCGATCATTTTACGATGATTCCCTGGAAGAACAACGAACTTTCTCTCTCAGTTTCCCCAATTCTGCTCCCTTTCGCGCGCGCGAGTCGGCGATCGCGACAGACCTGTATGCGCTCGCACGCGGCGTCAAACTGACGACGAGGGTTGGGAAACCCGCCACCCTTCGTGCCAACCAATGTGTGAATGCAGGGCGCATGATCTCTACCCCTCTCTCTTGCAACGAGCGATGCAACGAGCCTCGCTCGCGCCGGCATCCCGGCGCCGTCTAGATCTTAATCTTCATCTTCGGTACGCCATCTCCGCGCCGTTTTATGCTTCCTAGTGGGACGTACGAATGGAGCTCCTGCCTCAATCCCATTCCGCCGTGGCTGAGGAACGTACAGTTACAAAATATACGCTCATACAGGGTGTGCCAGAACCGCGTTTTTGAAAATTTAACGTAACGTTTCAGGAACTTTTAACATTCTTCACATGTTACACGTTTTATTACAGCTACGCCTGAAATGGAATTATTCTAAGAGTAAACTTTGTTTATTCGATGGCAGCTACGAAATGTAATTTTCAAAAACTAGAACTATTTCGTTTTGAATTGGACGCCCCATTTGCGTCCATCCCCGATATTATGCAAGAGAAAAACCGATTGAAATTAGTTAAATAAAAAAAGTGCAAAGACACAAAACATTCTATTGTGTATCTAATGTTTGAAGGACTTGATGCTTCCTCTTTTAAACACAAAAGATAAAGACGACCACCACGAAAACGTAAATAAATAGTTACGTTTATAGGGTATAAACAACTTTTTTTTATTAAAAAAAACAAATGAAAATTTATTATTTGTGAAAACAAGACCGCTTCGATAAAGCTAAAGTTCTTGTAGAACTCGCTTCGAAAATATTTCCGCTGAAAATATGTATCTCTTTTAGGAATTTCTATATTTCATTTTAATATATTTTAATGACATGATTATTTATTTACTTTTGTAAAGTTTAAAAAGTTTTAAAAAGATAACTAACGCTGTTATTTGTTTTAAAAGAATTATATCCATTTTACATTTTCTCTTGACTGGTCAATAATTCTATCCGACAAATTTTAAAATTACAACGCTATTCTTATCTTTAGTTACTTTCTGATGTATATACCATATATTAATTTACGTTTAATCGTTGATTTTATCTTGACATATTTTTAATATAACATTATCTACTTGTATTTTTTTCCATACATATAAAACATTCCACGTTTGTAGTGTAAGTGTAAATCTTCAAAATATATGTATAAAAAAATACGAAAATCAGAAATTAAACGTATATCAATATTATATTATACATTAAAAAATAATTAAAAATAAGTATCGTGTTTACATGTTCTTACTTTGAGAAAACGAACTCTTTTATCTCTGCTATCGAGTATTAATATCATCTTTATTCATTTGACCCGATTTTTTCGCCTGTTATGATTCATCTCGTTTCGTATCGTAAATATTTGAGGTTCGAAAGGTAATATGGTGAATGTACACACACATATATGTATATACATATATATGTATATATATATATATGTATACATATAATATGTGTGTGTGTGTGTGTGTGTGTATATATATATATATATATATATATATATACAAAAGTCTAATATTAAGCTTTTAGGGATGACTAATATTAATCCCGTTAAGCTTATTAAGCTTGAAAAGCACGAGTCAATAAATTTTAATTCCAAATATAATCTATAGCCGCATAATTACATCGTGGTAAAGGAAATAATCGCGGTAGTTAAGGTAAACAGATTAGGTAAGCCATTTTCAATAAAAAATAAATAATCAAAAATGTTGCATTAATCAGAGTTGTAAAAGAGAAAAAAGAAGAAAATCGGACATTTCGTTCTATGATTTCTATGAAAATTTCAACGAGATTTATCACGCGAAATTAGAAATGCTAATATAACATTTAACTTGAAACGCATATACTTTATATGAAATCTGAATACATTTGAAACACAATTTTTCTAGTTTTTTTTCTTTTACAAAAATTCCACGAATTAATCCATGTTTCTAAAAATGTTGACCGTATCGTATGTCGTATGACATACAAAGTTATTGATATAGTATTTCCAACGTGATGTGCAAGTTAATGTCACCGAAGAGAGTACGGCTTCCTTGTTTTATATTTTTTATAATTTTCCAGTTCCAACCAAACACCCTTTCGCTCTCGAGTGCGAAAAATGCACGCTTCGGACGAGATGAAAAAAAGGAAGCCCAAAAATCACAGAGAGTTGATCGAATTGGGATCGGCCACTCGGGATAGTGCGAATCATAAAAAAAAAGATAAATGTGGCTCGATCAAGAAAAAAAAAGAAATAGAAGTACAAAAAATGTATGAAAAAACAAAGTTAGATAAGAAAAAAAGTTAAAAGTTATATTTGACGAACAGCTTAATATTAATCTAATTGTAAGCTTATTGAAAAGATATAAATCAATAAATTTCAACTTCCAAATAATACGATCTGTCGCGCGATCATATTATTACAAAGGCGACAAATAATTGTAATGTGAAGGATCCGAGTTGTCTCGCGCAACTATTGAGGACCTTTCAACTTCCGAAAAGGAGGAAAGGGGCTGAGGTCGAAATTTATTCAGCTTCCGCTTCGTCTGAAAACAGACGATGAAATTGAGCAGAATGATTGTGTATCTTAAAATAAGATGAAAATTACAAAAATGAGCAAATTTATTAGAATATTTATAATTTCATTAGTCAGTCTAATAAATATGCTCATTTTCATCTGATTTCAAGATATACAATAAAATCTTTACAATTTCCAGCGAGAATGCCGAAATTGAGATCTTTCTGATTACCAATAAGAATGTCGATTTTCGAACTCAATCCGGAAATAAACGCCTAATTACATGCATGCATGCACCCACATAAACCGATAAATATGACGATAATACATCTCGAGTTTCGTCAAAAATCGCCAAATTCTGATATCTCTCATTTCCATCTCTGCGTTTGAAGACCTTATCTTTTGAATGTCGAGATATCAATATACTGTGCGCACGAGAGAATGTACGTATTGAAATACGTATTGATATCTTGATCATTGCGATCGATATATCATAAGAGACGAAGGTCCGTATTCAGAACGCGCTTATAATGTTAGCGCGCTAACAAATCTATGAGAGATTCTGTATATATGGTTAGTATTCATACTTCACTTTTATCGATAAATACGCACATTTAGCACGCAGTTTACGTTACATCAAGATCCTGCCCTATATTTTATGATTAAGTTTACATGGAATCGTTTACGTTAAGTTTACAATCTTTTTTATGTAAACAAACCAAGCAATGTAGAATATATAAATTATTATTATAACTTATAAATTGGATAATACCATACAGAAAAAAGTAATTAAGTTTTTTATGGTAAATCAAAACAAGATAGCAATTTTAATGCAAGGACAAAGAACGTAAACTCCGATGATTCATAGATGGTTTTACGCATAGATGACACGTAAAATATAATCTACATAGTTTATTTACTCATATAAAAGCATATTATTATATTTTACACATAAATACACAACTCTGCGTTACATAGAATTTTTAAAATAAATGCGTGTATATTTATTAATAAAAGTAAAATGTAAATACAGATTATCTCATACATAAAATCTAGATTTGTCAACGTATTACGTTATAAACGTGGACACATACAAAAAGATTATATTTCGGAACAAGACCGAATTTTTTTGCTTTTCCTCATAGAACTTAAAAGTATAAAAAAATTTATCGTAACTCCTCTTTGTTTGGAATAAATAAAAAAAAAAAATGAAACCTAAAAGAATAATCTATCAACGTTTTCGCTTAACCTAAAAAAAAATTGCGTCGCAAATTTATTTAAAAACTTTTTTAATCAATAATTTTTTCAAAGGATTAAAATTCAGTCTCGCAAATTAAAAAAAATTCGCGCTTATTCACTTTTAATACCTTTTATTTACCTGTTTTATTTCTCTCTTCTTTTTTTCTTGTTATTGCTGCTGCCGCGCGCGATGTTGCGCGCGTGATCAGCGCGGATAATTGCGAATATTGAGCAACACAGTTGGTTGCAACGGGTAGCATGCGCTAATTAACTCCATTATGCGCCCCGTTTCAGCGCAGGGGAAGGGAACTTCGTATTTCACCAGGCAATTTACTCGTGATGGACTAAAAAACGCGAGCGAGGCGTGACGATTTTTCGAACTGATGCGACGCAGCGCAAAGTAAATATGGCGGCGGGCTCTCCATCGCGGTGAACCACTCAGCTAAACGCGTTTACCTATCGCGAGGATTGCGTTAAAAAATTGATAACATACACACAACCAATGGCATGTAAACGATCGATTATTCCATAAAATTTAATATAACAATTAGTCCGAGATATTTTCTCGCAATGTATTTTTTATTTTGTATTTTAAAAAATGTTATTTAAAATATTAAAAATACAGCAGAAAAAAATATGTAATATTATTTTTTAAATATTAAAAATATAATGGATATAATGGACGATAATAATTAATAATCTTTTAATTTTTAATATTTTTTGAGTTTAGCATTTTAGCTTTTTGTTTTGATGAAAGCGCGTTATTATCGCGCAAAAATTTATGCTTTCGCCAATGATATTTTCTGTGAAATTACTTATGTATTTATATAGGGTACAGCAATTAAAGTGACGCATATACGGAAGATAATTTTCCTATACAATTTAATGTAATCATAATTAATCCGATACCTTTTCGTAACATTTTTAATTGTAATAAAAATTGAAAGCTCATCGTCAATTATACATGTTATATATAACTGACGATGAGCTTTAAATTATATATTTTTTTTTTTAGTTTAACATTTAAAGCATAAAAATTTATGCTTTCGTCTTAATATTTTTTTATCTATAAAAGAAATTGCTCATTTATTTAGGATCGCAATTAAGTTACTCGTTTTCATCTAGAAAAGATAATCAGAAATGTGGTAAATAATTGATGCTGCTCGTATTTCGTCACACACATATGTATATATGTATATTATATGTACGTATATATATTTCTGACAAATAAAAATTTATAATTCTTGTATATATTTACATGAGAGCCGAAGATATAGGCG